CACACTCGACCATGTGTATTTATTTTCACTTTTTATTTTTTTTAACAAAATTTAAAAAATATTCAAATTTTAATGTCCTCCGTTGCGAGTTTTGTTTTTACATTTTTCTTTTTGTAATGACAAGGCGATTTAAAAATTTAAATGATTTATTTCTCAAATATTGACTTTGCATAAATAACAATAAGTGCCTTTAAATGTTTAACACAAATGCAAATCTGTGTTTCAATAAGCGGACGTCAATTAAAATTCATCACACAACGAGAATAACACACCAGCGACACCGGAAGAAAACGAGCGAGTTCTCGGAATTCGTCAGTTATGAACACGTGTTTTCGTGCTGGTGCGCTGAAAACTTATCAAAATCTGTACAAGTGCTAAAAAAGGTGTCTTTCTTTAATTTTTTTATTACAAAAATCAGTTATTTGTTGTTTATTTTAAAACTTTGTGGAAAATTAAATTCTGAACTTTTATAAAAAGCAAAAGAAAAAAAGGTTCTGACCACAAGGATTAAGTGACTGATGCGCCTTTGTATACGTTCATTTCGTGCTTTCAATAATATAAATAATATAAAAAATAAATAATTAATGTACAAATATCCATTAAATTTTTCATTTATTTATTTCGTTTTTACCTTTATACTGTATTTAAAAGTAAATCTCTTTCATTATCACTTCTTACAATAATGTTATTTATAGTCATACCATTTCTTTCAATATAAATATGCATGTAAATAAAATTATGCAATTTACCGCGTCCTTTTCGTGGAAGACGACATAAAGTAAAATTAAACAGTTGTAAATATTGTTTACCTTTTATTATTAATTTGCTTTTACGCAACAATTGCCGAAAATAGGTCAGAGTTTTAATTGTTTTATCTTTATGTATGTATGTACTTTAACTACATTGACTTTATTTATAACAAAGAGAGTTTGCAGTTTACTTAAAAATTCAATTACATACATACATACATGCTTGTCTGGCGCAAAGATATTTTATTGTGTTATATGCCATAAGAATATATAATTTATTATCTACTTCACCAGCAGGATGTTGTGTAAAATTTAAAGTGAACTGATTGTAAAACATACAATGTTCAGACTATTTGTACAATACTTAATTTATTGTTAATAAAATCAATGGTTTAAAGGAAAATTTAAGCGAAAATTATTTTACGTAAACTCACTAAATTTCATCAAAGGAAAACAAAAATATTATATAATAAATTAAAAAAAAAATAAAATAAAATAAAATAAAATAAAATAAAATAAAATAAAATAAAATAATTTCTGAATAAAATAAAATAAATAAAATAAAGTGAAGTAAAATAAAATAAAATGAATTAAAATAAAACAATAAAATCAAAGAAAATAAATGGTTTAAAGAAAATTTTAAGAGAAAATTATTTTCGGTAAAACTAAATCACATAAAATTGAAGTAAATGATATAAGGTGTTATAAAATAAAATAATGTTATATAAATTTAAATGAAATAAAGTAAAGTTAAATGAGCTAAAATCAAAAAAAAAATAATATAAATTTTAGCTTCATTTAAAGTTAAATTAAATTAAATAAATTAAAATAATTTAGTTGAAATGAAAAAAGTAAAGTAAAATAAACTAAAATAAAATAATACAGTTAATTGAAATAAATAATAAAAAATGAAGTACAATAAAATAAACTGAAACCAAAATTAAAAAAAAATTCCAACAAGATAAAATATATTGCAATACAATGTACATAATTTTCAAATATTTTTAGTATATCAAACAATTTTATTATCCACAATGATAAAAAATTATTTATTATTCGCCTTCAATTTTTAAAGTACAACAAGCTAATAATTTATCACGAAATTTGCTTAAAGCGTAAAAAAAGCTAGATTTAAAACTAGAAACTAAACGATTGCACTAAAGTTCAATGACCACACTTACATACAGAGATATAATATTTAATTAATGCAATGCCCATTAAGGCTAATTTATTCAAAGTATTTGTTAAGCTAATATTAAACATTTTAAGCTATTTTTAAGTGCCTCATACACCTGATATACAAATAAATATGCATACTTAAACATATGTACATAAGTATGTATACATGTATACTCAGACCGGAAGAGAATTTATTTAGTTAAATTCAACTAATTAATTGATTTTATTCGTATAAATCAAATAAATTATGTTAAATGCATGAATCTGTATGACTGTATAAAGATAAATGCGTAGAATAACCAGTTAGTGGATGAACAAAATTGTTGCATGCGAATTAATGAAATGTTAAACAATAATTTATACTTTGGTGAATAAATTTTTAGCAAATTTTGAAATAAAAAAAAATAAAAAAAAATAAAAATAAATAAATAAAATACAAATTTTAAGATAAAAATAAAAAATATTATTGTGGAAAATAAAATTTAAGGTTAGGTCAAAAAGCTTTCAGCAGAACTCGAATTTGAACAACGTTTTTTAGGTAAAACTATAAGTTTTCAATAGTGAAAGGGTTAAATAATGATGTACAGTTCTCTACTCGCGTGTAAACGCATGTATGTACTTGCATAAATATGTATATAAATTTCTGTAACATTCTTCGAACAATTCTCCTACAGCTTCAACCACTGCACTCATTTAATATGCAGACAGCATACATTTAATAAATCAAAGGTAATTACAATGCAATGAGATCAGAAGACATACTTTCGTAAATCACCGAAAAACAGCCATTAATGCATAATAAGTTTACTTTGATTTTCAACTTCAACGTAAATGCAAACAAATTGCGACATTTTTAATACCCTGCACGCAATTAGCGTGGCGGCGAAATGTTAACATAACCTAAAAAAAATACCTATAAAATTTGCACAAATGACAGACGCCCCTACGGCTGCCTCAAGTGCGAATGCGACATTAATGAACTGCGCACGCATTCAAATTAGCAGAGATGAAAATTTTATTTTATGCAAATTATCACAAAATAAAAGGAAAACACCATCGAAAGGCAACAACAACAGCGTTAACTCAAATGCAAGCTGAACACGCTTCGTATATGACAGCCGCTGACAAATATATTGCCACAATTTAATTAAGCTATAAATGTATTTATGTAAATTTGATTTCCGCATTTCAAGCACAAACATAACTTTAATTTTCTTTTTTTTTTTCTTTTTTTCCATTTATTTTATTCTCCTATAAATTTGTTCTTCATGTGTTGCGTTTGGTTGGCAATTAATATTAATTTCCGATTAGTCAATGTAATTGTATTATTTTTATTTGTATTTCGGAAGACAGTTTGCGCTTGCAATTCCTAGTGGAAGTCATGTATATTTATGTAAATATGTATGGGTTCAGACGTTTTTAGGCATAACTAATGAATATTTATAATTTCCATATATAAACAATTTTTTTTACTATTATTGCTGTTCTGAATGTTAAAACAATTGAATGAAATTAATATGCTATTAGCGTTGTTGTTTTAAGTGTTTGCTGAGACTTTTCCCTAAAGGAATAAAGAAATTAATGGGATGTGATTACCTCTTTAATGGCAGAGACAAGGTTTATAAATGATTCTTTTTTAGTAGAATTTCATCACCGACATTAGTAATGCAATGTGTGTTAAAAATATATATATAATTATCAAAACAGTGTTGGTGAGTTGACTTTTGTTTGAAATTATCCCACTGCTGATCTTTGTTCGTGGCCTATGATCTGCAGGAAGTTTAATTTTTCTATGTTCAGTCTGTGGAACACAATTTTTCGTATGTTTTTTTTTTTATCGTATATCGAATGTATCGAGTAGCTAGTGTTGAAAAGCGGGGCAAAAAAATATTAAAAAATAAATATTAAAAAATAAAACATATTATTTCAAAGTCCTCACCGTGATCACTTGAATTTAAGACATTTTAATCAATTTTAAATTAATTTATTTATTTCTGCGAATTTAAATCTCAGTTGGTGCTAATATTCAGTGAAGGCGCCGTAATTTTATATCTATACATGCATATATGTTTGTATGTATGTTTTAGCACTTATAATATGTAGATAATAAAATAATATTTGCTTATTACTTCATTGCTTTGCGGCAATAATTTTGCGTTATTGTACAAGTTCATCTAGAATTGCATTAACGTTTCATGTACGATAAATTGAATTGCACGTGCCGTACACATAGAGTAGCGTCGTGTGCTTGAACTCTCAATGCAATTACCTACACACTCGTTTAAGGTAATTAATTAATTTTCATTGCGCTATAAAACAAATATAATATAATTCTCTAGATACGCGAATGTGTAAATTTGTTTATTATTTTACTACTTAAGTTAAACATTTGTATGTAAGCGCTTATGTTGCATTTCACTGCACTGCATTAAATTCATATTCAACTTCAACCGATGACATTTGTCTGTTATCGATTACTACATTTTTTCCCCTCAAGTCACAAAAACAGCATTTTTACAGTTTGCCGCTACTTTTGCGACTGAAATTTGCGGAAGCGTGCTTTTGTTCTTGTATCCTGGCAGTAAAATGAATTAAGAAAGAAAATTTAAGTGATTTTTCCTGCTTTAATAGAATTTGCTTCAAATAAGGGAAAATGCGCTGGAAAAGTAGATTACATTCTATATTACTCATACGCCCCGAATACCGATTTTTATAGACGAGCATTCCGGTTGCATTTATGGAAGCGTGCTTTTGACAACACATCCTGTCAATTTAACTGAATAGGTAAGCCAATAAAGTGAATTTTTTTCTGTGGAAGAAAGAGTTTGTTGTCGTAAATCACATGTATTTATTCATACGTAGTGGCCGGATCGAAGAGGAGAAAATTTTAGGTTACTCATACGCCACGATTATCGACAGCCAATTGTCAAGACGCGTAATGAGCGAACTCTTTAATAAAAAAATTAGTTGTTAAACGAACATTTTTTCGTCGAGCAAAGTTAATTTAAAAACGTTGAAATATTCTCCACCTTGTATTGTCGACTTCACTTAACACATATGTATATATGTTTGTACATTTAATTTCATAATTTTATTTATTATATAAAATTTTTAACAAATTTTTTGAAACATTAAAGTTCGTTTAATTCAAAAAAGAAAAGTAAAAATAAATGCACATTGAACAAAACGGGTCATGTTTTTTGCAAAATATTTTTAAATAAAGCAATATTTATTTAAATATATAATATTATACAAAACGAAGTTTCTTTATGTTGATCTTGAAAACTTTTTCCAGCTCTGCACCTCAATACCAAATTCTTATTCACCCTTATACACCGGTTTACGCTTCTCAGCAAACGCTTGTAAACCCTCCAAACGATCTTTAGTTGGTATAACTTGTGAATAGCAAATCTCTTCAATGGAGTAACCCGTGTTCAGATCAACTTGTATGCCCTTATCAATTGCCAATTTGGCCATACGTACACCTACCGGACCATTGGGTAATATTTCTTCAGCAATTTCTAAAGCTTTTTGATAAGCTGCATCACCGCTGTCATTTTGTGGTACTGCATGATTGACTATACCGAATTCTTTAGCTTCCTTGCCACTCAACACGCGTGATGTGAAGATGAGTTCTTTTGCCAGCGCCGGTGATAGGATGCGTGGCAAACGCTGAGTACCACCTGCACCGGGTATAATAGCTAAGCGCGTTTCAACCAAACCCATTTTTGTGTTCTCCGCTGCCGTACGCATGTCACAAGCCAAAGCCATTTCAAGCCCACCACCAAGTGCATGCCCATCCAGCGCTGCTATCGAAGGCATTGGCAATTGCTCGAGTGCCATTAATAGTTCACGCAAACTTGTTACAAATTCTGTTGTTTCATCTGTTGACATCGCTTTGCGTTCCTTCAAATCAGCACCAGCACAGAAAATGCCTGGAGTGGAGCTGCGTAAAATCACACAACGCGAGCCGTTATCATGTTCCAAGCCGTCTAATACTTTTTCGAATTCCTGCACTAAGCTACGGCTAAATGAATTTTTCGCTTGTGGTCGGTTGAGACTTATCACTGTTATGCCTTTACGTTCGCCATCAAGGCGCTCAACCAGTACTTCATTTCCAGTTTCTGTTGAGGCAAAAGCACGATACCGGAAGGTGTTGAACAGTGTTGGTGTGGTAAGTCTTGAGATGCTCCGTAGCATAATTTTAATATAAAAATATATAGGAAAATTGATTACAACAAATTAACAATAAATTATCAATGTAATTCCTATATAGAAATGATTACAAAACAATTTCAAACACGCTGCTGTCAAATACCGGTATAAATAAAAGAATACGAAAACCAAAACAAACTAGGAAAACAGCTGATTAAAATGAACTAATTTCGTGTGCGATAGCACAGGGTAACGCAAAAATAAAAACCAAGTTTCATTGAATGAGAAATTTCTTGCTTAAGAGCATGAAAGCAGTAGCAAACTATATATAAACTTCAGCTTAATATATTGTGCTAATTTGCTTTTTAATGCTCTATTTTGGTGAAACTTTCAGCTTCAAAGAAGCTAAATTCATATATTTAATATTTTTTTTGCCCTTTAGATCATAAATTATCTATTGTGAGTGGGGCAGTGTTATCAAAAGGTTTGCGTACAGGATAAACAAAAACAAAAGCGTAAAACAAACAATAACACAGAGTTGTCAAAAAGCTTCTTGACATTTGAAAAATTTAAGAAATTTAAAGAAGCAGCAGGCACCTAAAAGTTAATTCTATTTTCCTGAGCGCTAGATCACAATTTAATAGCTTTAATAAACAAAGCAAACATATTAATTTTATGTGTTCATATTTAACGTGGCATTTTATGGTATAGAAATAGTGACAAGAAAAAATAATCTAAAGAAATCCTTGCTATAAATTTGCAGAAGCTACGATATACTGCTGGCTGATGACGTAGAGCACCTAGGATACGCGGTTGGAGGAGGCAGCAGGGTAAGAAAAGCAACAATTTCGGTGGTATGTTTAACATAAACATTTGACTAGCAAATAAATGAAACGTATAGTGCAAAGATTAATTTTATTGCCTTAGGTACGGTAAACACAACTTTACTAAAGTAAAAACCAACCAACCCTTCGCACAACAACACTTTCGCTTTTGTTTGTTTGCATTTTTTTTTGCATTGATTTTTTTACGTACATATTTTTATTTTTTTATTTTTAGCACACAGTGCAAGTGTATAAAGTGAATTACGTGTATCACTATAAAAAAAAAATTACCGAAGGTGCAAGAACTTTAAAAGCAAAAGCATATTTATTTACACAGCTAGGGTGCGCCTGGGTTGCTTTCCAAACAGTATATTCTTTATAGCAACGGCCGAAAGTCACAATGTTGCCGCGTACTGCGGAACTAGTGCGTGTGCTGCACTTGCGGCATAAATTCTTTGGACGTAGGTGCTTGCACAGTGCGGATAACTTGAATGCAATGCTCGTTGGACGTGTAAGTAGTACATTATTTAATGAGAAATACCATAAAACTAAACGCTTTTAATTTCAGTTTAAGCAACGCATGTGTGTCAATGATGTCATCAACTACACTTACAATAGAATTCCAAAAAATTGTGGGAATGTATCCCCACTAAATCGTTCATACACAAAAGAGGTAAGATAGAAGTCATAAAAAATCCATTTTTATACTTTAATACATATATGGCTGAATAAATTGTCTTGGTAGGTAAAAGCTGCAGCCGTTTCGAAATCCACTAGTTCACCGTCGAGTATGGGTAATGAAGCTACCTCAAAAGTGAAAACTACAAAGAAATCTGCAACGGAACCGAATACAATAATGAAATCCGCAGCAACTCCTAGTACACCAACAGTTTCAGATTCGGCGCAAACCAGTGAAACGAAAAAGATGGAGGTAAAAACTGCCAAAGGCATACTTTCCATTACCGCCACAATTGAAGGCTCCAAAATAAATGACATAGTTTTTGAGAAAACAAAACCACCTGTTGTACCAGACCTGAGCATACCGCCAGCCAAAGTACCGGTAAATGATTTGCTGAAAGAAACGGCGCAAGCAGCTGCAGCACAGTTACCCTCATCAACGACAATTGATGCCGCAACGACCGCAGCTACAATGGCAGCAGCAACGTCCAAAGCTAAGGCCGCTATAGCGAAAGCTACACAAACGAAATTCGTTGCCAGCGCTACATTGGACACTGCCAAACCGGAGACTGCGGCAAAGGTAGCGCAAACAGCGCCTATAGCGCAAGTGAAGAAAGGAAGTACTCCTATAGGGGAGATTCCTGCACAGAAACCGGTATTAATTTATCCATTTTGTGCTCTTAATAACCAAGCATATTAATTTTTTTTTAATTATTAATCATTTTCAGAAGCGTGTTTTAGTAGACTTTAATCGTTCGTCACTGGAACGTAATTTCATAACGCCAACGCGTGCTATGAGCGACTTTTTGCTGAATGCTTCGGATTTGGAAAGTCTTTCGAAGATCAAAAGGCGCTCGCCTTACGAACAGGAGCCACCGATCACCGTCTTCTGGCGTAAAGATGTTGAGGCCAGGGCGATAAGTGTGTGGGGTTCAAGGGAGAATTTATTAAAAGAACAACTGAAGCGTGAAGTTGAACGAAAGAAACATCAGCAAAGTATGCTTCATTTAGCGCTTAGTGTATGGGGTAATAAAAAAAATATTTCAATTATTTACAGATCTCTTCACAGTGAAGCGTCGTTTACGCGACTATCGGCGAGAAATTGGCGCACGTACGGTAGTTGTTGACTCAGAACCCGGTTTGACGGGTAAATCCGGCAAGGTCGTGCTGATTGCTATTGGAATGTGAGTGGATACTACATTAATTTCGCTATTTTTTAATATTTAGACAGGAATTTTGTAAAGTTTACTCTTTACGCTTCCAGCAATGGCTTAAATTTCCTTTTCAAAGCTTGTGGCTGGGTATACTCCGGCTCGCATAGCATGTTTGCGGAAAGCATACACTCCTTGGCGGATACAATAAATCAACTCATATTGGCCTATGGCATACACAAGTCCACACAGCTGGCTGACTCGGATCATCCTTATGGCTATACTAATATGAAATATGTTTCTTCGCTCATATCGGGTGTGGGTATATTCTGCGTTGGCGCCGGTTTATCGGTGTATCACGGCATTACGGGTCTAATGCATCCGGAGCCGGTAGAGAATTTCTTTTGGGCTTTCTTCATTTTGGGCGGCTCACTGGTGTCTGAGGGCGCTACACTCATAGTAGCACTGAACGAGTTGCAACGTGCGGCGAAATGTAGTGGTGTATCCTTTAAGGATTATGGTGAGTGTGAAATATTTAATGTATATTTGCTTGTATATTTGTTTTTTTTTTTTTTTTGGATATATAAATTTCTTTTTCGTATTTCTCCAGTTTTAAGCGGTAAAGATCCCTGTGTTAATGTAGTGCTGACTGAAGACGCTGCTGCTGTGACGAGTGTAGCGGTCGCTGCCACTTGCATGGGTCTTACCTCCTTCACAGGCTTGCCAGTTTTCGATGCTGTCGGCTCGCTTTTGGTTGGTGGCATTTTAGGCGCAGTGGCATCATTTATTATCTACACTAATGCTACGGCGCTGGTGGGCAAGTGCGTTAAAATTAACTGACATTAATCACAGACAAAATTTCACTCAAAACAAATCACTTTGCAGATCCATTTCGGAAGATTTGTTAATTAAAATAAATGCTGAGCTCGAAAGTGATGTGATGATACGCGCCATACACGATGTTAAAGGCATTGATATGGGCAATTCTTTAGTGCGTTATAAGGTGAATATAAAATATATACCTTCATGCTACACTGCGTGAAATCTTCTAATTTTCTTTCATGTGTAGGCCGAAATGGATTTCGATGGACGTGAGTTGACGCGTTCATATTTGGATAAACAGGAACTAAACGAACTCTTAAAGGTCAGACAGCCATAATATTTAACTGCTAACATTTTAAAATTTACCCCCGCCCCCCCACTATCTTTTCAGACGGTTCAATCATTCCAAAAAGTTGAGGAACTCGAGGAATTTCTCTTAAAACACGGCGAAAATATTGTTGACCTTATGGGTGGCGAAATTGATCGAATAGAAATGAAATTAAGGGTATTAATTTTGTTTTATTACAAAGAAAATTACCTTAAATCTACAATTTTTTCTCTATTCCCTCTACAGAAAAAATTCCCGGAAATACGACATTGTGATCTAGAAATTTTGTAAATTTCTTATTTATTATTTGTATGTATTTAGATACTTAATGATGTAGAAAACCATCAAATGGCTCTCAAAAAAAAAAAAAAAAAAAAAAATTTTAGGTTACCTCATATACGTTAGGCATAAATATGCAAGTATGTGTATGTTTGTATGTATACCCTCAACGTGATTGGTTTTTTTTAGTACGTTTCGTTGTATATAAGCGAATAGTGCTCATTTTATTTATTTGGACGCTAGAGCAGAAGAATAAAAAGAAGAAGAAGAAGAGGAAGAAGAAGATAAGCGTTGTGGGTTCCATGCTGTGAAACCGCAATAATCTAAAAATTATATAAATATGTATGCTTGAATTAACAATCATTATTTAACTTGAAAAACAAAAAACAACAATAAAAAGAAGCTTAATTTATTTTGAATAAATGCAAAAACAAAATAATTAAAATAATATTTACAAAATAATATATGTAATTGTAATAAAACTATATTCATGTTTAAGTTAAATTATTGAATTTTCTGTAGTTTCTATACCAACACTATTTGAGTTTCTAACAGGTGATTTACATCCATAATTTTTTCGATTGCCAAGCCTATCGACTTTGTTTCCACGGACCACCGCACGTTTGTTAACTTTAATAAAGGTAACTAGTCCAGCTTCACAAAATATACCAAGAACACCTTCAGTGGTCTCCCTAACTCCACCGAAGTCACCATAGGTAAACGCACACTGCGCAAAAAAAAAATTCGTATTCGCTTCATAGCGCATGCCAAAAAGCGGACATCTGCCTTGATTTTCCTACTGTAGCGGCGGTGTGAGCTTCCAGACGCGACTCCTTACGTCAAGCCGATCTTGGAAATTCCATTATACGAGACTCAATAAGAAGGTTCGGCATAAAGTTGACCAACACAATCGGCATAAGCGGAAGGAACCCTCTAAAAACTTTCCTCTGGAGCAATTAAGCTCTGGGCCACAGTCAAATCGTTGTCTAACTCAACGAGACCCGATAATCAGGCGGAAATTTTATACGGTGACCATACCTCTTCGGACCCTGCGCTTGCTATTTTTGCCGACTTTTTACATTTCACCCTTTGCTAGATAAAATCAAGCGAGAAGTGACCCGACAAGTGATGCGCAAACTGCTAAACACCAGCACGGCGCTAGATTTTTTCAGAGAAGATGTACAGGGGTTAACGGGAAGGCGAAGTCTCCAGAGAGTAAGCCTGCTGACGCTTAAACCTCTGGAACTAGTGGAGGCAGACGTAGTTCAACAATATCCTCAATCTGTATTTCATCACCCTACAAATACGCGACATGTGGAAAATGAGTAGTGTGGTCTCGCTACTTAAACCGGAAAAACCAGCCCATAAGGGAGAGTCTTATCGAACAATATTTCACCTTCCCACAGTGGCGATTATGCATTTGAGGTCTTGAAGTTCACGTCTTTTACCTAACTCTTTGCTAGCCCACCCGCAAAGCGTCCGCAAACTGCACCACAGCTGCTCCAAAGGTCACAGACACCCGGATAATCCACTGGCTTAACCAATATCGACCCCACATGCGAACTTTTTTGAAGGACTGGAACTGTCGTAGGCCCTTGACTCGGTCAAGTTTGCCCTTTTCATTTTTTTCCGAAAATGCACACGGAGGAATTGCCAAATTTAATTTAATTTTTTATTTAAATTAATTTTCTTTAACTTTTGGATGTTGGTCGTATCAAGATTTGAACCCAAGTCTTCCTAATGACAGTACACAATGCTAACCACTTGGCTACCGCGGCCAAAAAGAAAGACGTATTCAAAATCCACCCATCGCTCATTTTGCCTCATAGTACCCACGAAGAGCTCAAGCTGATCTTCGCGAGATCCGAGTAATACTGGCGCAATTTAGCACTGGATACTCTAGTATAGGACCCAAACAACTGACTCATCTAACCCTCCTCTCTTTCTGGTCCGAACCCGTCGAAATAGCTCGCTTCCTAGACTTGTCGTTAGATGACTTCGACTGGTATAGTTTGCTCCTAAGTGGGGTTGGTAAGCCGCTGCAACAACAACAACAAAAGTACATACGTATCTGTAAGATAATGGCGTTGACAGACTATAATTTATTGGCTTATAAGCGCGCAACTGCTCTTTGGAACGTTTAACATCGACATTTGTTTTCTCCAAATCTAATTTAATTCAATTTTTTTTGTTTAGTCGATTTCGAGGTTTCCGATTTTATACGCGATCAATAACTGCCGGTCTCATGTTTAATTCTCATATGTATACATGTATATACATATGTATGTATGTATGTATGTATATAAACACAGAAATATATATGTATATTATGCAAAAACATTTCACCCACATACATATGTATGCATGTACATACTTAAATCAACAGACGCCAAAACTTTTGTTTACTTTTACTTTTTAAATTCAACAATTTGCATAGTCACGCCCACAGCCGGCTGCGTCTGTTAAAAAATGCATGAACAGTGAGCTAATCTTCAATTTTGCAATTGTTTATATTTTTCATTTACACACATATTTACATGCATTTATGAACACTTCCTAAGCCATTGAACGCGTCAACAGCCGCTGCCGGCGTTAATCGGCCGTAACAGCAGCTGTTAATGAGAGGTGTTAACAGGGAATGTTACACGCTGTTCATCGTATGTTGACTATGTAGAGGGTAATGTCTCCGATATGTGGTTTTCAAGCATAATTCAAACGCATTTATCTTAATGTTATGGTCAAGTATTGAAAATTATTATTTAGCTAAGGGTTTGAAATTATGTTTCAAAAATAATTTCGGTCAAGTGAGCGCCGCGGCTGGTCAGAATAAATTCTAGCAGAGAGGAGCAATTTTCGACCACTTTTGCAGAAACTCGGGCTGCATGCTAGCAATAACGCTCCGCATATTCACTTCCAAGGGGTCAAGTTTCTCGGGCTTAGCCGCGTAGACAAGCGCTGCTTATGGCGTCTCTGAGGATCCATTATAAACTAGAGTAAATGTGGTGCGAGACCGAACCTGGTCACTCGAAATTTATCCGATTTTCAAACTTTGTTACTTCGTAGATTGTTTAGAGGACTGCGACTTTAGTGTTATTGAGCCGGAGTAAATCTGTTAATTATAAAACGGCCATCCACACAGAGCTGTCGAAAAGACCAACTGAGAAAGAAGTATTGCCTCATTGAAAACCACACTCCTAAAAAAACACCACTTTTAGATAAAGTCAAAGCATGTTTGTATGTATACGAGTATGTGTATGCATTAAAAAAATTTCTCCAAACACACCTAATAAAGACATTTTTAAAAAGTTTGGCTTAGTATTGACTGAGTACATACAAGCTTGTTAAGCCTTGACAGTAATTCGGCCGAAATTCTTCACCATTTTACGGGAGAGCACCTCAAATGACTTACTGTTGAATTTAATTATTTTATTTTATTAATATTATTTTTTTTTTTGAAAGGCTATCATCGACGGACAGAAAGGCTTTGCTGTTTGTTTGATGAGTTTTGCACTGAATCATCCCATATGAGCTGCTGCTCTACAGCCAAACTCTTCATTCGGTCCTTTACTGTTAACTTTTGCATCGTCTTAAGAAAGCAATCACCAAGAATTACACAGCTTTGCCGAACAGTAGGAAATTTTCGTTTCATCGGGACAACGATATGCCCCACACGTCTATTGTGACTCGACCGGAGGTTCGACAGCTTTGTTGGAAAGTTTATTTGCATCCAGACCATTATAGACCGGACCTTGAACCAAGTGTTTACCATCTGTGCTTGTCTATGGCTTATGATTTGGGTGTTGAAGAATTAGATTCAAAGAAGCCTGTGAAAATCGATTGCTCAAATTGTTGGCCAATAAAGGCAAGGGTTTTCCTGAGAAAGGCATAATAACGTCATCTTCAAAATGACAAAGACTTATCGAGGCAAACGGTGCATACATATGTACACACATACATACACACATACATACATATTTGACATAAATCGGATAACTCGAAATTATTTATTTTAATTTAATGCTAACATAATGAATAACATAACCTCAAATATAATGCCGAAAAACTGAACGAATCAGAAAACATTAGAAACATACGAGGCACTCTTATGTCTCACTTTATTTCAACCATAAAATTTATTTTGAAATGTACAAAACCAAATATTTTTAACGTGCACATGAAAAACTCAACGTCACAGAAACTCGGCCTACCTCCGTCACTCGCTTATGCAGCTCGCAGCTATTCATTAACAAATGTATGTACATACATATGTATACATGTAAATATTATGCTCATAAACGCTGTCTTGAGCTTGTGCTGTGCCGGCGCTCCAATCAGTTTGAATTTAGCAGTGCGCGCCAACGGCAGTCAATTGCTGAGAAAAACAATCGGCAATAAATGGAATACGGAAAAACAAATAAAATAAAACAAAACAACAACATAGCGTAAAATTAAATTAATCCAACAAATTGTTGTACTTAAAAGGTAGAGCCATTATTAAGTGAATATTTTATTTTGCGTGCGACCCTTAGCTTGACGTTGCTTTGATAAGAGTTCGTATGCAAGTGTGCGTGCGAAACGTGCAGAAATTTGCGTGAATCAAAAAATATGCAAATTAATGTGTGTACTTTGTAAACAAACAAGAAAGTTTTTAATTATTTAGTGAGAAAGTGGAAAAAACTAATTTCAGCAATAAAATGTCTTGAATAAAATGAAATAAACAATTCACAATAGACGCGTGATAAATTTGGACAGTTTTTTTTCCCCCCAATGTATAATAATAGTACGTTTCCAATATTCAAAATTATGGAAATTTAATTTAAATAAAAGCGTTTAATTTACATTTTTTAATTGCGGTCGCCGTTTTGCTGGGAATGTCTAGTCCTGGGACACGAAATAAAAGCTCCTCATAATACCCCATTGGCCGTGCCGTTTAATTTCGCCCAAAGTGAAGCGAATTCTTGCAAGAACAAACAGACATTTGAGATAAGTAAGTTGTTGTTGTTGCTGTAACCGCAAACTTTTTCCCGAATTGGTTTTTGGGGAATTTTGCGGTAGTGACAGTCCTTGGCCTGACAAAAATTCAAGTCGTTTCGGTGTAAAGATCTGACTGTCTTACTACAGGCATGTCTTACCATCGGTAAACTCTTGAACCTCTAAATCGCAGGGGCTGAGATGTACAATACATATGTAGATAGGGATGGTTAACGATGTTGGAGCAAGCATACACCCAGATCAGGTTATTTCAAATCATTTGTACTCTCCACTCGTCAGGGAACGCGGAGCTCACAGGGTATACATAAATCTGACAAGGCATAAAAATCTTCTTATAAATATATATTAGATTATATAAATAAAACGTGTCGTAAAAAAAACACCACAATCAAAGAAGGAGATCACGGGAATATCGCTTCAGTGATCTTAGACATATCATCAAGGAATATAGGTCCTAAATAGAGCAGCGTAGCTGTAGCCAGATCATGGCATTACCATATGGGAGATCGTTTCCTTCACTTCCTCGTTCTTACAGCTTCGGCATGTCGTTCTATCGAGCAGTGAGCGGCCTGTCCAGACTTATAATACCTCAAAAAGTCCTCGCTGTGTTAGTCCAATATAATGCAGCTTGCTCTTAAGTAAATTCTCTGAAAAGTAGTAGTAGATATACCAATGCATTCTTTATTAGGAATACCATATTAGTAGCGCCTTGTCTGACAAGCTTGTTTGCTTTGCGATTCCCAGTTCCCAGGTATTTTAGTGAGTTATCTCTTGTAGAGATCGGCCATTGTTCACAGAGTTGTATTAGTTGCCTCTTCTTTATTGGCGTTGGCACTGCTTACGCAATTATAGCCGAATCAATATTAGAGCGCCATTCAACTCTACTTTTCGATGTTTGACGCCAGTTGGAAATACCAAAGCCAGGTCGCTCTTCACCTGATCTTTCCAACGGAGTCGAGGTCTTCCTCGTCCTTTGCTTCCAACTGCGGGTACTGCATCAAATAATTAAAAAAGTTAAAAAAAGTCACACGATAAGGAAGCACCCTGTCTGAAACCTTGTTTGGTATCGAACTGCTCGGAGTTGTCCTCCCTAATAGCTGAAATTTTGGCTCGAAAAACAGTGCCAAGATCGGTTAGTCTGAAAAAAAGCTCACCTCAAAAGTTGAGTTTCTCGTGAATACAATACCAGGAACTCTGCCATTGAGCTTCGTTGCCTCTAATTTAATATATCTCAACACTATCGACTGGAGTGTCGAAGTCATGCCCCGGATTTTCGAGCATTCAAAAAGCAGATTACTCCGCTGCATTAGTCTTACCACTATAAGGTATTCTGTAAGCTATGGCACCTGAGACGTTCCCCTGAGAATGTAAATGGGCACTTGATACCCTTGTAAGACTACGGTTGCAGTCTCGTCCAAGCTGATTCGCGAACTCAATCAGACCAAGCTAGAAGGTAGACAACTGAATTCTTCAAGACTCACTCAATTTTTTCAGTTCTGTCTAAGTAAATATGTTTAAGCATTGAATATTTAATAAGTAAATAGACACATTTTTGACATTAGTTAAAATACTTTCCATTTATGTATTTTTGTATGTGTGAATTTTTGTTGGTTGAGATGGCTTTCCAACAAGGGTACAACAATGTATGGTCATTCACACGTAATATTAGTCATTTATTCACGTAAATATTTGGGTTTCTTTATATATGTATGGATGTATATTAGGGTGTTCAACAAAAAGAAAAAAAATTCGTTACCAAAAAAAAAAAAATCTTTTATCCAATAAAAGATTTTCTCTTCATTTTTCACAAATATAACTTGAAGAGTTTGATCTTTGTTCGGCGAGTAAAGTAAAGTCTTCTACTTTTCAATTCAGTACTCAGTCCTACCTGTGAGCAAGTGTGGTTATGCGTTGGATATCAAGGCTGACATTATTGTTGGTGCAAGATAAACGAAATTATCTACGATTTCAAAGTAATGATGTGAGAACCGAGTCGCGCAGCTTTACACTTTTATTGAAGATTTTACCTGCTCTATTTAGTTCTGCTCTGCAGAAGTCACACAATAAAGAATCACTTTGCATGAAACCTCCTTGGTTTTTGATTGGCTTGGAAAGGTCCTTCTCGATTCCGACGGAGTTTTTGGTGTTGCTTAACGTCAGTTTATTTAGCCGGATAAGTTTTGCAAAGATACCAAATTCAGACACAGCGGCTTAGAGTAAGCTCTTCTTCGTACTGTGGAAGGCTGCTTTAAAATCGTCGAACAGGTCGTTGTTGACGATCCTCTTTTCATGGGTCTTTTCTAAGATTTGGCGCACGGTGGAAGTCTGGTCAATGATAGATTTACAAGGTCTAAAGTCAAACACATAAGCTACAAACATTGTGTTGGCGGTGGACTTTAGTCTTTCACAGAAAACGCTCGAAAAGCAACCTAAATGTCGGTAGTAACTTATATGCGATATTTAGGTGGCTTATCCCAAGGTAATTGGAGTGGACTGTGGTATTCCCTTTTTTATGGATCGGGCAAAGCACGCTTATTTTCCAATCATCGGACATGCTTTCATCCGACCATATTCTGCAACTAATAATTTGCTTATTTATTCCCCATTTGGTGTATCGAATGACATACAGGGATCGGAAATAGTAAATAAATTTATAAATAAATAATAAATTCGTTGTCAATCATCGATGCATTTCAAGAGATTGTGGCTGCATAGACCTTGGAGGTTGGAGGGAGCCTCTAAAGAAAAGAATTTACGTTGAAATGATTTTCGGCCGAGCTACTCCTCCAATTTTTGGCATGCGTCTTAATGTTTTTCCAACAAATGGAGGGACCTAAGCCGTCTTCGAACGGCCGATGGGTTTTTATGAGCAGCTCGAAGGCTTGACACTCTCTGCCGAGAGGCAACCTAAATTAGAAAAATTAATTTTCTTCAATTTTGGATGTTGCCCGATCCTGGACTCGAACCTTGTACTTCAGAATGGCATTAGGCAAACTAATCGGCTATTGGGGCTTAAACAGTCTGATATTCTACTATTTTATACGCTGAGTATTCTTTTTCTTTCTTCTTTTTCTTCTGAGCCATAAATTGTCTAAACTGGCTAAAAGCTACTTTCAGATCTATACAAAAAAGCTACCGTCTCAAAGTTTTCAACTAAATGTATAGCTTCAAAGTTGCCCACCCGGTGTTGCTCTCTTCGAAATCTTTGTGGTGTTTTCCACTGCTCAAAATTTTCTGTTCTACAATCGCTGCATGAGATCAATCTTCAGGGATCATACAAATGCCAATTCAATTGCTACATTCAAATTATACACGAACGTACTTGAGTTTACCGCTGATTGTTTTTAGATAAACACTTCCATATTCCGTACGTATGTAAATAATAAATAAATTCCCAAGCAAAGTTCACTTTCAGTATTTTGCATCAGCAAAAAAAAAAATACTAAAACATCAGCAGTTGATAAACGCCTCATTGTCAAAGCTTTGACAGTTGCATCCGCTGATTCTCAAGGTCAATACATTTAAACGGGAAGGCAAAATAATAAATAAGGAAACATATATACATATATATTTGTACGTAAGTATTTATATATAGTTCTCGTGTGTATCTAATTCTAGTTAAAGAAAAATAAAAAAGGAGATAATATGCCCCCAAAACATATTCCACTTCTGAATATTTTTTTCCAATTTTTTCAGCATCAACACAAAATGAAATTCATAAAATTATTATGTCTGCTACTAACACAAAATGCACTCATCAACATGCCACAAAGTAATGCTGAGACTATGGAGGAGAAGCGTCCACATATTATATTCATTTTGGCCGATGATTTGGTAAGTCTCTTTTAGCATTTTACTTAAAATCAAAAAAACTTTATTAATGAAAGCAGCAAATATGATTTGCAAACTGTTCATGTCTAAGCGCCGCGTGACCTTCAAATTTTGTGTTGACACTTGATTATGACAATTGTTTTGACATTCATATCAGCAGAGGTGCTTTGGCAATTTTATTATATTTTAGATATATTTTTCGTTAGAGTGTTTTTTTCGCATGTGGGTTTTTCATTGAGGCAATATATTTTTCAGAGTTGGTTTTTTTGACAGCTGTCAATTTATTCATACTCACTTTTGTTTGTCTGTTCATAATGCACAAATTTATTTCGACATGTAGTCTAGGTCGCAGTGCATACCCTCTTTACAATATACTCCGGAAAAAGGTTTGCAACTCGTGTTCATTAACATCAAAATTCAAAATAAGGGTTCACGCGACATATCGCGTACTGCGTCCAAAATTCATAAACATCAAAATATTATAGCCCAGCGGAGTTGGTAATTCGAGCAATAATGACTTTAGTGCATAATGCGCATCCTCAGACACCCTATGCAGAGCGCACCGAAGCGACCTCATGGAACATAAGTTCTTTTTCACTCGGTGAGCTCGACAGCTCGTCGGAAACTGTTGAAGCGGTAGACCTTGTAACCAAAGCCTGCCTTTAAGACCTCCTGTCCTCTACATAAGTATTCACAAAGGGAAGAAAAACGCCAAGTTGTACAACACTGAAATCTCTGAACTGAGTAAAAGCCCCAGACAACTTTTAAACGAAGCCAAAAGATTAAGCTCCTGACATCTCTACGAAACCGCTATAAAGCTTTAAAAATGGTAGTTTGGAAGGCTCAATGGGAGTGTTGGAAAATATTTTGTGGTGACATAGTAACTCAGAAGGAAACAGACTTAGTAAAGTCCCAACCGAGAGCTTAACTACTGTAAATTATATCCGAAAACCCAATTGTGAATGAGCCACATCATGCGGCAAAATGCTGGAAATTCGTTTGAACACCTTTTTTCCGGCTTGTTCCGAAGATCAAAAGGTACAAGTGGGTCTAATACAGACATTAGCGAAAAATTCAGCCACAGATGGGTTGGTTGGGTTTTAAATTCAGAACAAAAGGAATTATATAGCAATTGACGTGAGCAGGGCTGTATTTAAACTTATTATATGTAAAACTCAAAAAGTGATTGACAGTTTCAAAACAGCCGATTAAAGAGCCTCGTACATTAATACCCACAATAGAATAGAGCTTCCTGTGTTCCAAGTTGTATTATGACCAAATTTACTAAGCCTGCATAACTCAACCATTGTGAATGCTCAATTCAAAAATGAATATACTGAAATAAAATTAAATAAAGAATTAAAGTTAAACTATTTTCATTAAAATTTTTGTTAATTAATATAATAATGAAATTAAAATATTAATGTTATTAATAAAATTAAAAAATAAATTTTGATTTAATGAATTAAAAATCGAAAATTTTTTCTTTGAATTTTTGAATAAAATTTGTTTTAAATTGTGTTGTTTTTATTATTATTGTTAGTTTTTTAATTATTTTCTCCTTATAAAATTTAATAATATTTTTTAAATACTTTTTTAGGGTTTCAATGATGTCGGTTTTCATGGTTCAGCACAAATTCCAACACCAAATATCGATGCTTTGGCCTTTTCAGGGCTCATCTTGAACAATTACTATGTAAATCCCATATGTACTCCGTCCAGATCGGCGTTGATGACGGGAAAATATCCAATACATACAGGTGAAGTTTGTTGTTTAAATAAATATGAAGCGATACTTTAGGGCTAGTTGACTCTGTGGAAGAGTGTGGTACGCAAGAGGGTAGTGTACTTAAGATTTAACTTAGATTTGGTGTGCGCCTGCAAGGTGTAATCACCTTTGGGGGAAGAAACGAACGGTTCGAACTCTTCGAGGTGCTTAGAGAGGGGAACCCGATAGCCGTTCACGGCGCAGCTTTGGGAGAACCGAATTTTGAAGGGAATGGCCGAGGTACAACAAGCCTTTCGCCTTCTAGTCAGCACTCTTGAGCTTGAGCTCTACTCTCCTAAACCTTCTATACTCAACCTGAAGCTCAAGTGAAGAATTTTTCGCGTTAATTATCCCAAACGCATACTCCAATATTAGTCCCAATTTATTAAATTTTCTTTTATACCCTCACAGGCATGCAGCATACTGTACTGTACGGCGCTGAACCACGTGGTCTGCCCTTGACTGAGAAAATTTTGCCACAATACCTGAACGAGTTGGGGTGAGTGAGAGACTCTGATAGTATTTATTGAAAACTTGCTTCATTAAGGGTTATTCTTCCGTTAATTTCCAGTTACTCCTCTCACATAGCCGGCAAATGGCATTTGGGTCACTATAAAAGTGTTTATACACCATTACAACGTGGCTTTAAGACACATGTGGGTTTTTGGACGGGTCACCATGATTACTTTGATCATACAGCTGTGGAGCATGGCATGTGGGGATTGGATATGCGCAAAGGTAAGTGGATGGAGTGAGTATTAATGGCTTGCGCACATTTCCTATAATGTATGGCATTCGACTTGAAACTCCAGTTTTCATTCGCAGGCATGGATATTGGCTATGATCTACATGGCAAATATACGACCGATATTGTAACCGATGAGGCAGTTCGCGTTATTGCTGAACATAATGCTACAGTAGAGCCACTCTTTCTCTACGTTGCGCACCCAGCGGTACACTCAGCCAATCCCTACAATCCACTACCAGCGCCAGATGAAGCTCTCGCTAAACTGGATCACATCGATGATGTGAGAAGGCGTAAATTTGCAGGTGAGTGAGAGAGGAAGAGGAGAGTGAATATTAGAATATCGGTGCAGGCAGACGTTTCAGTGTTTGAAAAGAGCGGAAGCTCATTCTTAATGGTCTGTAATTCGGGGATTTTGCTTAGTTTTTCACTGCCCTCGAAGGGCTCTTAAGCACTTTTTCTCGCTGTGAGTCTGCCACGTACTGATATACTGTTTAGTATGTGTCAGCGAACTTTGTAACCGCGTCGAAGAATGACTTAGCTAAATACAGCGTCTCTCTATTATTTGATTCCCCAAGACTTACAATTTAGTTTTAACTCATCTTCCTCACACTTCTCTACAGCAATGCTCACACAATTGGATGACTCAGTCGGACGTATCGTAGAGGAGCTACAAAAACGCAAAATGCTGCAAGATTCGATTATCGTATTTAGCACAGACAACGGCGGTCCACCGCAAGGCTTCAACTTAAATCACGCCTCCAATTGGCCATTACGCGGCGTCAAGAACTCAGTGTGGGAGGGCGGTGTACGTGGCGCTGCCTTGCTGTGGTCACCGCGTCTACAAAAGCGACCACGTGTCGCTGAACAACGTATGCACATCGTCGATTGGTTGCCAACACTGTTAAGCGCGGCGAGGGGCGCCGAGCACAACGAGCAGCTTCAGTGAGTACTACATTTGTGCTGGAATTTTTAATCACTTTCAATTATTTACGCTCATTTCAACCTTCACACAGTAACTCAAGCGCTGCACTGGACGGCGTTAGTATTTGGGATGCGCTTGTGCGAGATGAGCCATCACCGCGTCGCACTATTCTGCATAATATCGACGATATTTGGGGTAGTGCCGCGCTGACAATGGGCGACTGGAAGCTAATCATTGGCTCTAATTATCCAACATGGAATGGTTGGTATGGTCCGGCGGGAGAACGTGATGCTCGTGCTTATGATTTGAAAATGTTACAACGTTGTCGTGTCGGTCATGCTTTGGCCAGTTTGAATATGACGCCGGCTGTTGCGGAGGTTATACGTATGCGTAGTGCGGCATCGGTTAACTGTGTAATGGAGGCACCTCCCAATGCGTGTGATTACAAAGCAAAGAAGCCATGCCTGTACAATGTGAGGGATGATCCTTGTGAATACTACAATCAGGCCGAGAAGTAAGTGAAATTTATTATTATATGATCTTTATAGAAAGCATCGATGGGCCATAATGTGCGTGTTCCGTATTTACTGGGGACTCCTCTCTTTTATTGTCTCTCAATTCAACTCTGTCTGAGTTTTTATGATATCTTGACATTGAGTGCCCATAAAGTTGATGGGGAAATAGTCCAAGTTAGGAATGAAATTACAGTGTTAAGATGATTGTGGAAATTATTTTTTAAGGTACTTACCCAAAACAAGTCTTCGAGCTTTACTTCGGTGTGATGGACCGCGGCCATCAAAGTTTCATACTAGAATCCATTAGAGCGAATACAGCCGCTGACTGTACTCTGCATAACGAGATTGCTTTGAAACAAGGTTTCAAGTCACATTAGAATAGATTGAATAGCGCAGTAGCATGAGGCTCGCAAGTGGGCCTTAAGACATACACGGACGCATCAAAAACGACTAATAGAGTGGGCGCTGAATTAGATCTCAGCCTAATCTGCAAACTTCTGGATTTCTACAATATTTTCCAGGTGAAGATCTTCGCGGTAAGGAAGTCAGCTAAGCTTGTTTACACCGCAAGACAAAAAACAACATGGCAAAACATTGAAAGCCTGTCGACAAAAAATGTCTTTCGAAGCATGGAGGCTATAAATAAGGTGGTTACCATGTACGGGTTTTCAGGAACGAAATAGTTGATGAGCTTGCAAAAAGTATCATCCCTGTGGTATCCAAAGCGAAAGCCGCAGAAGATCATATGTAATAGTATTTTAGCTAGCTTGAAGTATGGATCAGGGTAAGATAGGAAGAACCACAGGACAGTTGTAGATCAAATGAAAGGCCATAACCTAACCTGATAACAATCACATGGCGAGCAAAATGGTGGGAAGCGTCGAGGAGCAGGCATGAGTGATACCTTGGAACAGCTACTCTACCCCTTACTACTGCTATATCCAGCAGATAGGTACATTGCATCCACTCCAGAGATTTAATGTGACATTTTTTGTGGCATCCAGCATACTACATTAGCAGTCGAAGCCGTCATTTAAAGCAAACTGAAAACGGCTATGAATGTCAACCTCGCCGGGTGTATTTCCAAGGTTAAAGAATCTTCTTCTTCTGTTAAAAATTCATCAGCGGCTCAGAGATGGCTTAGAATAAGCTTAAGGTCCCTCCAGACGTCGGTGAAGCTTCAAAGCGCTCGCCACAAATTTGAGTAAGAGTTCGGTGGAAACTCGCTTCAGTGGTTCAGCGGTTAGAAAGTGTCCATCCATAACCTCTGCAATATTCAATGTGAAAAAAATAGAAATATCAATTAATAAATTTTAATTATTTTACCTAAAAAAAGATGAACATGTTTCGTTTCGCTTCACTTTATAGTTTAGCTTTGACAGTTAAGCTCGATGCCAGCGTTTTTGGCATAAAAAGTACTTTTTTAGTAAAGTAAGAAAAAGAGGCTAGATATTTTATGGTCTTTTAATAAAAATTATTCATCTTCCTTGACGTATTAAACATTTTTTTTTTAAATTAATTTTAATTTTTAAATTAAAAATATGTATTGTATTAAAAGCACCAACAAATTGTATGTTAGGCAACTTTGGTTTTATCTCTCTTCGACGACTTTCTATGCAAACAAACGCTAATAAATGCTTACGTTCAGCATAACTGCCAAAACATAACACTGTGGTGAAATGAAGAGAAACTTGTATGTGAACCTGCCTTAAGAGCATTTCATTGTGAGCTGTCATCCTGTCATCAACTGTCAACAGTTGGCAGTTACTTTTTATTGTCTTTTTAATTTGTATTAAACAGTTTTGAGTGTCAAACGTGTAAAAAGCTAATTTTAGTTAGTTGCTTTCAAAGTTTTTTCGATTTTATTTTTTTTTATCAACTTTTAGATATCCAAATATACTTCGCACACTTTTGGACGAACTGAAACGTTTCAATGAGACTGCCATACCCGCCTCCAACAAGCCAGATGATCCAAGTGGCGATCCTCGGCTGCATAATTACGTTTGGACAAATTTTGGCGATTTAGTGCAAAGTGAAATTATTGATGAAGTGAAGTGATAGTGAAATGAAAGTGAAAATACAATAATTTTGTTTTTATAAAAATCGTCAAATATTTTTGTGTTTTATTGTAACATTTGCTTGTCCATTTCATTGCTTTAATATTAACCTAAGTTTTATTTATAAACAAAAAAATAATAAATTCATTTAAGTATTTAGAATGTGATGAGCACAACTTAGCATAGATTTATATGTTTATATAAAAAAATGAGTTAAATGTAGATTAAATACAGTCAATGTGTATGACTAATGGAGCGAAGGAGCATAATGGAAAATGTGGAGCTAAAGGGTAAATATGAAAATGGTTTTGGGCGATTGGGGTTAAGTTTTGAGTTTTTTCCTATTTTTTAAGTATATGCCACATGCATATCATAAACAATACACGCACTAAACGCTTAACTAGATAATATGCAAAATACAATATATGTAAGTAAGTAGTATAAGTCTAGTAAGTATGATAAGTTTGTATGCATTATTATTATAATGATTGAATATGCGTTATGATTAATGTGGTATTTATGTATGTATGTAAGATATGTATGTATTTATACATGATGATGAGGAGCGCTTCATTTTTCCACGTCCGCCGTTATAATTTGTGGGCTCATTGTCCGCTATCGTACGCCAGTCGTTCGTTGCCGTTTCTCTGCTAAATTAATATCTATAACCGTTGCCATCGTTGTCGCCATTCTGACCACCGGCACCAAAACCATTTGGACGTCCACTTGAGTAACCATCACCACCATCATTATCTTGACCGCCAGGTCTGCCATCGGAGTAACCATTACCATTGCCATTGTATTGACCGCCACTGCCATTGCGGTTACCATTACCATTTGAATAACCATTACCGTTGCCATTGCCATTACCGCCATTTCCATTGCCACCTGGTCGTCCACTTGAATAGCCGTTATCGCCTAAATCTTGTCCACTTGGTCGACCATCCGAGTAGCCATTACGACTGAGTCCCTGTCCATTGCCATTACCATTACCATTGCGACCTTTACCGTTGCGTCCATTGCTGTAGCCGTTACCATTTCCGTTGCCATTACCGTTACCATTGCCATTCGGACGTCCACTCGAGTAGCCATTACCACCTAAATCTTGTCCGTTCGAATAGCCGTTGCCATTGCCAAGTCCATTGCTATTTTGCTCATAGTCATAGCCATCAGCACCGCCGCCCAAACCTCCAGCGCCGGCGCCAGTGTTGGCCTCACCTTCGTAACGTATTTGTGGACGATAGCCACCCTGATCGGCTTCGTAGTCGACGATCTAAGCGAATGAGCGTATAAAATTCACAAAAAAAAAATGATGAGCAAGAGTTGCAAGCGAAAGCAAATAAAAAATGTAATAGATTTTGAGAAATTAATAAAAATATGTTATTAAACTAATAATTTTCTTGTGAGAACCACTACACAGTTTTATAGTGTGGAATAAATCCACTTAAATAAAAAAAATATATGCGCCTAAATGTATACCTTAAGCAAAAAAAAGTGTTCCAAAAGTTCAACTATTGCACATGTGGCATACTTTTAGGCTGTCTCATCTGTTCATTTTGCGCGTTTAAAATGTCTTTTTTTTTTATAGACACTGCAGCTCTACCTAACAGTCGAGAAATAATCAATGATCAATATGGAAATATTCTTACTTGCTTCCTTCCATCAGGCAACAACACATTGTACTGGCCCGTTGTAAAGTCGCCATCGCGCATCTCTGAATGTCCGAAGGACAAACCACTAGGAGCATCCTCTACTTCGTAACTAAATTCATATTGTGCTGGTTCCTAAGGAAGGAATAAGGTTAGGCAGGCATATGTTTTCAAAGACCCCAGCTGAGGGCTAATAAAGAAAGCAAAATTTTGTGTGCGACATAAGCGTGAAAAGTAGAGTTGCCCATGTTATGTGGTAGTTGTGCCAATGGAACGACACAAGTAAGAATTTGTGTAAGCATGAAAGGACTGACTCAGCTAAAGTAGACTGAGATTAACCGTGAGCAGTGTATTTTAGGCGAGTGTTACAGCAGTGTTAATTGCAGACTATGAAGACTTTGTAATGTGTACCAAAAACCAAGGTGTAATTGAAAAACTACACGCAACAAAGTGAAACGTGTGAGCTGAGGACGTAATATTGTTCATGTAATCGTAACCTTGTGTGCCCTCTTTGACTGCAGTACTTAATAAATAATTTAGAAACATTTTTTTCTTAAACTTACGCCGCTCTCACCGCCGTCACTACCGTCTTGCGATGAGTAGTCATAACCGTTGGTGCCACCAGCACCGCCACCATTGCCATTACGTCCGCCACCGTTTCCGTTGCCGTTACGTACAGGTGGCAAATATTCTTGTCCGGGGCGTCCACTTCCGTTGCCGTTGCCGTTGCCATTACCAGAAGCTGGTGGACCATAACTATCGGAGGGTTTTTGACCACCACCCAAACCATTGCCGTTCAGACCCGGCGCGCCATAAGTGCTTGATGGACGTCCACCGCCATTACCATTGCCGTTACCGTTACCGTTGCCATTACCACCTAAACCGGGTGCGCCGTATGTGCTTGAGGGACGTCCACCGCCATTGCCATTGCCATTGCCATTCCCGTTGCCGTTGCCGTTACCACCCAAACCAGGCGCGCCATATGTGCTGGACGGACGCCCACCGCCGTTACCATTACCGTTTCCATTACCACCTAAACCGGGTGCGCCGTATGTAGATGAAGGACGTCCACCGCCGTTGCCATTACCATTACCGTTGCCGTTACCTCCCAAACCGGGCACACCATATGAGCTAGAAGGCCGTCCACCGCTATTGCCGTTGCCATTACCACCTAAACCGGGTGCGCCGTATGTGCTCGAGGGACGTCCACCGCCATTGCCATTGCCATTGCCGTTGCCGTTACCACCCAAACCGGGCGCACCATATGTGCTCGAGGGACGTCCACCGCCATTGCCATTGCCGTTGCCATTACCACCCAAACCAGGCGCACCATATGTGCTTGAGGGACGTCCACCACCATTACCATTACCATTGGCTGAGGGTGGTAGATAAGAGTTCACAGGCGGCTCGGGACGTGCCAGCACCGTCGAAGTTACCAACAACAAACTCACAAAACACCGAATTCTCGACATTTTCGATTTAATTTTTATTAATTTTTACTTATATTATTTGGTATGCCTTAAGGGAGGCTGAGTATCAGCTCACAAACTCCACAAAAATCTGCTTAAACACAAAATCAACTTGTGTCAGGACTTGTCGTCCTGTCTACGCAGCTGTGTTGCACTTTTGCACTCAAACACACTGACGTTTATTTCCTTTTCGCTGTCTTAATCTCGGATCTAACTGTTTGGTCGACTTGTCTATCGAAATCCAAATCGAATGATTAAAATCCAAGTTCTGACTGATTTCCAACTACCAAATGTTGGCATATTTATATGCCTAAGAAGTGCAGACGGCTCATATGTTAGCTGACTGGCTGATGGCTGGCCAACTTCTTTTTGGAGGCGGCAGATGAGGCATTTTGGTTATGAAGTTAGAAAAATTACAAAAAAAAACAAAAACAAAATAAAGCAAAGAGCCATTCGAAAAGCCGAAAAGCGAGAGGATTTCTGCAGCATCCCACAGCCGAGTTATGATATGGTTGCACTCATTGTTTTTGTTGTCAATTAAAGTTGAGTTGGATGCTGCAAATGCGCCATACGTCACAACGTCTAAGACAAAGCCACACAACGGCTGCTTATTCTGCTTACTGTTGTTTAGCTGCTGACGTTGCTCTGCCTGCTACACTCGTCAGCCAAACGCGAATGTGGTAGCACACGTAGTAAGCGTCGCAGTATCGGTGCAGCCGCAGTTCATCTTCATTTCGTTCTCCGTCATATTGAGATCGCACCAAAGTCATTCGGCATTTGAAACGTCAAGAAAAAAAAAAAAGATTATTCCTCAATCGTTTGTTGAATGAGTAAACGAAATCAAAAGTAAGCGACCAACGAGTAGGAGCCAGCTCGCCCTCTGGTGGCATAATAAGTGCAATGCAATGTTTGGCGCAGAGACGAGAAGACGACCAGACGTCGCGCAGAGACTGGCTGTAAAAGTATTTTTTGCTGTGAAAAAATATTAATGTCTAACGGTATTGCGCTTTATTTTTTTCTTCATTCAAACAAAAGAAAAAAAGGTAAGAGTATCAAAACTATTGAGAAATCTATAAGTAGGAGCTTTTGTGGGTGCCAAAAGTGAAGCGCATGTGCATGCAGTAAATAGATTGCCAGCGCGTGCTGGTGACCGCGCTGTTTTCCCCCACTGTCAACCGTCTGCTACCGGCTTCAGCATCCTACGATGCGGCCTTCTATTGGTTTGCAGCTCTTCGTGTTGTTCGCGTTGCCCAAATCAAAGATCGCCTTCGATCATCATCACCATCAGCAGCAGCAGCAGCAGCAGCGATCTCCTCATCATTGACTGGTAGGTAGGTGATTGTGTGGTATTGTTGTTGTGCGTACCTAGAATGTGGCAAGACTTCTTAGCCTGTTGTTTTAGTTACTTGTCATCTGATCACCACCAACACCATTCTTGTTTGTACAATTTAAACGATCGGCACGTGCTTTTGTGTGTATTTGCATGTGATGTACCGTTCATCTTCTAAAGTTGGTTAGTCAATCTCAGTTGCTCACGTTCGCTGTGTGATGATTCTCAGGCGAAGGAAGTGAAAATCGTGTGAGAAGGAGGTCGGCAGGAAAAAAATTTCGCTGAAAGAGTAGAGGAGCTGTTGAAATTACGTTAGACTCGTTAATGAAGGAAATACTGGCCGCTGGAGCTGACTGCCTCTTTAGCATTATCCGAAACCGTAGGCCGATGCTTCAAATTTTGGCAGATCAAGTTCCAAAAAAGGTTTTATCTAAATGAGGCCGCTGCTCGACAGGGAATACCAACCTCTCTGCGTGTATTCCTGGTATTATAGTGACCGGACCAAAGCTTTTTAGTTCCGCTCGGCCGTAACCTGCTTGTCACTCCCTTTATTTTTCAGAAAACCCATTCAAATTTACACCATAAATTGGTCCTTATCCTTAGCGGATAGAGGTTACTTCAACGTAAAAACAACATCAAGTTGCCATTCAATCTCAAGAGCTTACACATAACCCCTTCATCTTAAGTGGACACACACTAGCTAAGAGGCTCCAGAGGCGGCTAAAGCCAGGAAATAGCTAACAATTGAGTTGCGAAATTCCAGCAAGTTTTAGCAAGATCTCTTTCAATGTAAAACTGGTTTTAAAGTCATCAGGATCTTTAAGTCTGCGTTAAGCCAAAATGTTAAGCCACTTTTTCTTGCTCAGCGTGGAAAACGTTCGTTTGAGATCAAAAATTATTTGTGGTTAAGTTTTGGCTTTACTAAATGCCACAACGGGTAGTATTTATCAGACATGCTCTTCTTCATAGGCACGGCGCCACTCGTTTTCTCTTTTAGCAGTTCAAGGCAAATCGGAAACTCCAAATTCCTTCCCATATGATCCCTACACCGGTGTGAAGCTCTTGCTCTTTCTCTGCTTCGACCGATGGGTACTGCATCGAATACTTTCAAAGCTGCAGCATTTCCGTCCATCCAGAGAACGTGATCTAGCCAACGGAGGCGCTGTTTCTTAGTTCGCTGAACTACATCAATATCGTCATATATATCATACAGCTCATCGTTCCATCCGCTGTAGCAAGGGGGAATGCTCTTACGTAGTGGACTATAAATCTTTCGGAAAACTCACTCTCGCCTCGCTTCCTTATTCAGTCTAAAGAGGCCAAAGAAATCAATATCATCGGAGTGTAGCTCTGCAGCGCATATTATTTTTCTCAGCACGCAGTGAAAAGTGTCACACTATAAAAACACGCTCCCTGAACTCCTTCCTGATCTGGACGGACCTTTTGATCAGTCGCAGCGTCCATTCACACCACCATATAAGGTTTCTTTTACGAGATTTGCCTCATAATGAATATCTGGCACACAGTAGAAGCTACATTACTTTTAAAAGGATATGCACAGGATGTATTACTCGTATTTGAAGGTGAGCTGCTTGGTAGAACCGCTCAGTTCAGGTGTATAAAAAGAGAAAACTTGTTTCGATGTTTTAATAGTAGGTTTTTAAAGAATTAATTCCACTGAGAGATGACTTTGGGCTGGAAGTACCGCTATTAGAGTTGCAGAAAATAGCACTTAGTGATACTCGGAGCGCGTTCTTCTTCTGCCATGTTGCACTAAAAAGCTTAAATTAGCTACTTCCTTCCCGGAAAGAGTTCAATTGGGGTCTGAAACAAGGAAAGATAGTATCTAAACTCTCTCTTTAGTTAAAGATTCGAGTTCTGAGCAAATTTTACCAACAACTTTGAGTGCGTCAAATTACTCAGAAAGTACCCACCCAGTCTGACTCTAATGAAACGTATGACAAAGAAATCAAGAAAGATTAGTTTTTTAAATGGCTTAGTTGTCGTACTCGGTGTGATTGGATACCAGCAGAACAAGTGAAGTCAGACCTCGAATTAAGACTTAACAGGCACTCGAAAGTAACTTAGGAGCCCACCTGCAGCATCACAAAGCACACACACCTCATTTACACTAACTCTACCCAACACCGCCGAGAGCGCGGAATCATCTTTCTAAGTGTCAGAATTTCCCGCTGGATATTTTAAATCCGCAAAAGCTTCCCACGGAGCATACGCAATGGTGGTTAACAGTAGCTGTAGATATTTATTATAAATTTACTAAGAATAAAAGTAAATCACAGTAATGCTCACGTCCGCCACTATGCCCTCGAGTGGCGTCAAACAGTCCGCCATAGAACCGCAACAACAAGCAGAAGGCGAAAGAAGCTCAATTGTGCTGAAGCGTGATTAAAATATCAACGCACAAGAATTACACAGCCAAAGTGGAGTGGAAAACATGGAGACACTATCAACGGCAACAATAACAACCATAGTTACTGGAGCAGCCAACACACGTGCTTGATGTACACCACGAAAAAAAAAAAAACAGAAATAAAAAACAGAAAGTAAACAAAAATTAAAATTGTTGCACGCACGACCACCAACTCGAGTACTACCAAGCAAGATCCTCCTTCGCTGTCATGTCTCAGCGTCGGTGATGAGTCTTTTTCTTTTCGGCTTTTGCTGCAGCGTTCAACACTCAATGCTCAGTGACTTCACCACTGTTCGGCGTAAAACGTGCTACAAAATTAATTGCATAATATTTTTCATGCAATTTACAGCTATGTAAAGGAACGTTGCGTTGAGTACCACGGTTGGGTTGTAGGTGCCCTGCAATGTACTCGTGCATAAATACATATACATATACATACATATATATATATGTAGGTAATGAAAATGCGTGATTGCAGATTTGTAATTCAGTTCGCAGCCGGTATGGCGTTTATCGAAAGACGTCATTGCGCTCATCACAACACTCAAACGGAGTACGAGTTTACGTAGAGACTCTGAAGTGATTGTGCGCTTGAGGTCAAAAGGCCGTTAGCGATTTCGTTAATTTGTCAACACACCGCATGTGTTGCTTTACTTCCAACAAATGCACGTAATGCATGTAAGGAGGCGACTAACACTCGTCTGCTCGCTTGGAGTTTTAGTAGGTGGCGGCAGCGTAGCGATGACTTCGCGCATCGGTGGCTTTGCCATTTTGACCCTCCGCAAAGAGATTAACGTCAGGTACACAATGGAAGTTAATATGTTTCATTTAACTCTTGTTGTTATTTTTTTCTTGTTCCCGTGCGCATTCCAAAGTGTATGTACATTTCGTATTTAGAGTTTTCATATTATTTTGAATCCATTGCATTTTTTTTTTCAGAGAAGGCAAGTAATGGCGGTCAGTAGGTGAGAGGATTTGGTGGACAGATAAGCGCACCGATAGCCAATTAAATATGATAAATATTGAACTCATTCGATGGACGATTGGAATTTTATAATTAATATACCGCTTCTAGGTGGCCTTATCGTGGCTCGGACTAAGGAGAGAGAGAGGAAATCTACTTAGAGGCAGTGAAAGAGCTCTCAACAACTCAAAAGTGCCCAGCTTTCGATCTGAAAGAGTACCAAAGAGGAAGCTGAGGATACCAATGAAATAAAAAAATAACTATAAGCGATTTCCCTATGGACTTTCTGCCTTAATTTATAATATGGGTCTTAATATTTTTCCCCAAGTAACATGGCGTACTACCATTCGAAAAGTCAGGGTTCGAGTCTAGGCTCGTCCAACATCAAATTTAATTTTTCCAATTACGGGAATCGCAACCTCTGCGAGTGTATTTCTGTCAAATAAAGGCCCCTCTTAAAAAATTATCAGCGGCTTGGAAGCGACTTGGTATAAATTGTAGGTCTCTCCATTTGTTGAAGAGACATAAAGACGCATGCCAAAAAAGAAGGTCGAGCTCGGCTTAAAACTGTTTTAGCGGTTACAAAGCGTCAATTATACATATATAATCAGAGACCCACTGTTTTTTGTAATCACCGAAGGACACATTAAATTTTTTCACTGGCTTTTATTTCATGTCTGAAATAGCCTCGGAGATATTGAAATTCCTTTCCAAAGAACGACCTAGTTTCCATTCAACCCCTGTCTCGTAGTTCGGTTCAGATTTGAGAAGGACTTCCCGAACTGAGCTCGCTCAAAAGCATTCAACCCAGTACCCGTTGGGGGAGCAGAAGAAGAGGTAGACCTGTACGACGGTGAGGAAAACCTTGACTTGACATGGTGTATTTTGTGTGGTGTATTGGCACCGAAATGCCAAATAAGTTGTGCAGCAACTTTTTCATTTAAAATTTTTTTATTGTATTTATTCTTCTTTCAAACATTTAGCTCAATAAAATAAATATATTATATAAATATATAAAGAAAACAAAACAATTCAACTAAACTTTCTTTAAATCAATTAAATTTATTTCCGTTTTTAATTTTTGATTTTCAATTCTTTTTTTTTGGCTTTACATAATAAAAATTGTATTATTTTTTAATTTAGTTAATTTATTTTTTTTTTAATTGAAATCAATTTATTTTGTTGTAGTCTTTTTTAATTAATTTATTTATATATAATTAATTATATATAATTTTAATTTAGTTTACTTTACTTAACTTAATTTAGCTTAATCAAATTAAATAAATTTTTATTTCTTTATTTTAATGAAATTAAAATTATTATTTTATATTGTTGAATTTAATTTATTTAAAAATAATTTATTGTTTATTTAATTTTTTTTTATTATAGTTTAACTTATTTTATTTAAGTTAATTTAGTTTAATTTAATTTTAATAAATTTTTATTTTAATTTATTTTTATCTTTTTTATATTACTTTATTTTATTTTTATTTTTTATTATCTAATTGAACAATTTAATGTAATTTTTTTAATTAAAATTTATTTAATTTATTTTGTTGTAGTCTTTTTTAAATTTATTTATTTATACATAATTATAATTATCTATAATATTTCATTACATTTTTTTATTTTAGTTTACTTACTTAACTTAATTTAGTTTAATTAAATAAAATAAATTTTTATTTTGTTTTATTTAATAAAATTATTATTTTATATTGTTGAATTTAATTTATTTTAAAATATAATTATATAATAATTGAACAATTTAATGTAATTTTTTTAATAAAAATTTATTTAATTTATTTTGTTGAAGTATTTTTTAGTTTTTTTATTTATACATAATTATAATTATAACATTTCATTAAATTTTTTTATTTTATTTTACTTTACTTAACTTAATTTAGTTTAATTAAATTAAATAAATTTTATTATTTTATATTGTTGAATTTAATTTATTTTAAAACAATTTATTTTCTACTTAATTTTCTTTTTTTATTATAGTTTAATTAATTTTAATTATGTTAATTTAGTTCAACTAAATTTTATTAGATTTTAATTTTAATTCATTATTATTTTTTATATGACTTTATTTTATTTTATTTTTTAATATTTAATTGAGCAATTTAATGTAATTTTTTTATTTAATATTATTTATTTATTTATTTTATTTTATTTTAATTTGTTTTATTTTATTTTATTTTATTTTATTTTATTTTATTTTATTTTATTTTATTTTATTTTATTTTATTTTATTTTATTTTATTTTTACTTTACTTCATATTATTTAATTTTATTTAATTTCACTTTATTTTATTTATTTAATTTTTTTTAATTTCTCCGTTTTTTAATTTTATTTTATATTTTAATTTATATAATTTTATTTAACATTACTGAATTTTATTTATTTTAAATTTATGTCATTGTATTTCATTTTATTTTAGAATATTTTATTTTATTGATTTCGTTTTATTTTTATAAATTTTATTTTATTTTATTTTAGTTTAAATTGTTTCCTTGATTTAGTTTTATTTTATTTTTTTAGTAAAGTTATAATAATATTTTTTTGGTTGCCTTAATTATTTTTATTGCTGCCCCTTTGTACTTTCGTCTCCGATTTTCCCTCACTACACCAAAGCGTTGTGTATATTCTCCACGACTCTCGCAAGCAAAAGAAATTGACAATATAAATTGAAACACAAACAACACATAAATCGTCCAACACAAAATACAACAAATACGCCAGGTAAACAGAGAGTAAATTCGAAACAAAGCAAAGGCAGAGTTGCAGCCATGCTAGCAGGCGATGGCGTGGTGGTGCTGTTGAGAGAGGGAGAAAAAAGGTGTTAATTTATCAAGATATAATAATTTAAATTAAAAAATTTTAACAGTAAAGCTTACTCAATAATAACAGTACTGCATAGAAAACTATGCCAAGAAAACCATTTGGCGGATTAAAGTCTGTGAAATATTGCGTCAGTCCAAATCCTCTGCCGTAGCTGTGGAAGGCAGGATATACGAGGAATCAGTTATATCTTTTTCATTTTTTTTTATAAAAAAAAAGTTGAATATTTTTCGTACGCACCTGGATGTAAACACCGCCGTACAACTGACTTTCGGACTCAAGTCACACATTGCCACGTAGTCGGCATCCTTTTCCGCTCTCAACTCCACGTATGTGGCATAAACGGACAGCAACAAGCCAACAAAGCACCAAGCACGTAAAGGTAAAAGAATTTTATTCATATTTATTGTTTTTTTTTTTAGCTTTTGTTATTCAATAAATATTGTTAATATTGTTAAGTAATTTTTTTTGAATGGAATTCAAAATGCTTTCGCCCAAAGCGTACCGAAGCGCTTGACAAGCGTCTAAGAGCAACACTCACGGCAAATTATCGCTTTATGATTGTGATTGCTATTGAACTTTGGCCCAAACGCTTGGTTGTTGGAGAGTGAGCGTGAAGCAGCAGTGCGGGTGGCCAGTGCACAGTTTTCACGGTCTCAACTGTTCGTGAATGTTACTTTTTGTAGCTTTACCCGGCAGCTGGTCACTCTAAGGCACATGCGCTTAAATAATTTCGTTTTATTCTGTATCTACTCTACCAATTATTCTTATTTTTTGATGTTCACTACTTTTGACAGCTCGTAGTCGAAAACCAACAGGTGGAAAGCAGGAAATTATGCAAATGTGGCTTCCATGGATTGGTTGTTATGATAAGGAAGAACACTAAAGGGTGCTAAATAATTATTATTCATTTAGTTAGATGGTAGTTTCATCAGAAATGGATGATGCTTTTCACATGCCTCCTTAGGTTTCAAAGAAGTATAAGGAGAAGTTAAAAATTTTGAGGAATTCCTCTTATCACCGGCGAGGAAAATATCCTGTTGTGTTGGCTTTACCGGAAAACTTGACGGCTTAGCCATTTTTAGTCCGGACTTGGCTCTTAGTGGGTGTTATCTATTTCCAATTTTCATTAATTTCGGCGGCTGCTCTTTGAATTTGCTGTGTGTGTCTTGATGTTTTTCCAACAATGTGTGAGACCTACAGTTTTTGTCTCAGCTGCCTGCGAACGGCCGTTGGATTTTTATAAAGAATTTTATATTTCATATTGGAGCGTTGACGCATCACAGACAGTTATCGTTCAACTTTCTTTAAAGCGCCAATTTTTTTGACGTCCGTACTTAAATGCGAAGAAAAGAAGGATAATTTTTGCAATCCAGTTGGTAGTATTGAGATATATACCATTCTATCCGTAAGTTTAAGGAAAGATCTGGTTGAGAGGGGAACTCTAAAGCCGAAAAACTTACCACATTTCATCGATACAGACCTCAGAAAGTAAGTGTCACATCGTGAGATGCAAAATACTTTGACAAAACTTAACCGAAAAAGTCAAGTGGAATTTGCACTCTAAATAGAAAAGATATAGCTTAGGTGACAAGAGGTTATTGACAGAGCAACATACAGAAAGACTGTGAGCTCTTGCTGGCGCTGCTACAGAAGATATGTGCGACGAAGTCATATGGAAGGTGGCGCACCTTGTGTAAAGCTCCGTCCGCTATTGAATTGCTCAGAAGGTCCTCCCCAACTCTGATGTCATTCTCGATGTTGCTAAACATTAGTTCGCATAGTTTTAAAACTTTTACTGTGAAACCAAATTCAGATATGACTTTTTTTTGCTTGGGGAGGTAGTCTTAAAATCAACTTAAAATGCTTTGTGGGCTTTAATCTTCCACACAACACTTTAAATAAGACCTTATATGCGATATTGACTAGGCTATTGGTATATAATTGACGCTTTGTAATCGCTGATGCGATTTCTCGCCGCGCTCCTCCTCCAATTTGTGGTTTTGCATCTTAATGTTTTTCCAACAAATGGAGGGACCTTCAGTTTATACCAAGCCGCCTACGAAAGGTGGATGGTTTTTTTATGAGAAGCTTTTATTTCATGTCCGAAATGCACTCGGAGGTTTTGACATTCGTATGACTGTTGTTGGTCGAACCAGAACCCGAACTCTGGGCTTAATATTTTCCAACAAATGGAACGACCTACAGCTTATACCAAGCCGCCGCCGAAAGGTGGATTGCTTTTTTTTATGAGAAGCTTTTATTTCATGTCCGAAATGCACTCGGAGGGTTTGAAATTCGTATGACTGTTGTTGGTCGAACCAGGACCCGAACTCTGGTCTTCAGAATGGCGTTGCCACAATGCTAAACATTCGGCTAGGGCGACTGCCCAGGCTTTTGCCATGATGATGATTGGATTGGACATAGCGCACTTAGGTACCAATCGTCCGGAAAGCGCTCATAGGAGTGTTTTAGATGCTTACAGAAAACATCTTTCATCACTTCGTTCTTCGAACATCGCTTAGAAGCGAATTCTGGCGAGACGTTCATCTTCCGGGGTGAATACTGGAGCTTGGCGACAGAGTCTCTTTCTCACCGCAAATCCAAATTAGCTATTCTTTATATGAACGTTGTAGTACATGACACAGGAACAAGAGAGATAACTAGTTTTTGGACGACGGTGATGTCAGCCTTTGGAGTGTACGGTTAAAATTTCCGCAAAAAAAAATATTTTTTTTTAAATTGATTACTAGAAGCTAACGAAGGCCGATGTGTAAAAATTCTGATAAATAAAATAGTTTTTTTTGGCTTGAAAACGCGCTCAAAAACCATGCACTTTTCATTTCATTCATTCACTTATACATACATATGTTAGTCTGTATGTGTGTATGTATGTGCACATCTGTTTAAGCACGCCAACTCAATGGCCATGAGCGTGTCAACCTTGAAAGTCGTGTGGAAGCTGGAGATTTATTTGTGCAAACTTTGAAGCATTCTTTAATAGTTTAACAAATATGACATTGTTTTTCAACTGGCCACAAGCATACATATATTATATACATACGAGTACATGCCATATATATATATATATGTATATATACGTATGGCAGTACAAAGGCAGAAAAAATCTCGAGCGATGCTTTCCTGGGCATACACACTTACATAATTGCAGCTTAACACCAACTGCTGCTTACAACAGTCATACATACAAACATATTTACATATATATATATACTCATTTAGGTTATGTTAGGTTAGGTTGAAGCGATTGCTCGGCATTAGCTCACATATTTATTGACTCAAAGCATATTTTGAAGTTTTGTGTAGCATGCGATTGTTGTTGTTGTTGTTGTTGCTTTTTAATTACATGTATTTAAATTTATTAACTTAGAAAGTTAACTTACAAAACCGTGCTAACAATGTTGTTGTTTCTCGTTGCTGTTGTTGTTGTTGTTACAGTGCCAAAATAACGTTCGCGCAGTTAACAGTTGACACGAAGGCTGCTGCCAAATGAATCTTTAACGTCAAAAAAAAAAAAAAAAAAAAAAAAAAAAAAAAAAAAAAACAAGAATATGTTGCAGCAACTGCTGCAGCCACAGCCACGTGCAACATACGGACGCGCCACTCTTTGCTGTTGAAGCGTAGCGGTTTTTGGCTTAATATTGTTTGTTTTTTGACTTCATTCTACTAGCATTTTTGATTTTTTGGTCGCTATATTTATTTTCGGCTCGAGGCTTGTCATTCATTCTTCTTCTTCTTCAATTTATTTGCTTTTATTTAATTTTTTTCGACTAAAGTGAGATCTCGAGCATTTCGAGTGTTTCTGCACGCGTCATGATTTATTTTGCATTTACTTTTAGGCGGCACGTTCTCGATTGGGACGTACTTACATACATATGTACATAAAGGGTGTTTTTTTCAGACGTTTGCATTGCCATAGGGCAATAGGTTTTCGGAGTTGTGCAGCTGTTATTAGATTCATTGCCAGTTTGGGGTTGTCATTTCATAATGATCAGACTGCCAACGACTTCTAGGGCTGATTCGAGAGCTAAGGTCGCAGACGATGTACTCTACAGTGTAGAGTCTACACAATCTACGCCAGCGCAAAGTTTGAAAATCGTGCAGATTGATTACCAAAAATAAGGTCTCGATTAACGTGACGGTATCAGGCGCATCCAATATTTGGTCGCCCAGCAGAGCCAGCAATTCGAGTAATAATGGCTCGGCTTGGCATCACGTTTATACTAGTCGGTAATGTACATACTCAGAGACGCCTCTCGCAGCGCGCTACTGCCGCTGTGGAGCAGATTATCGAAGGGGAACCAAATTAGTCCATCCGCCAAGGGGCTAATCAACTACCCATCCATGATTTCGCGGAACGATATTGATTTGTGCGCTGCCAACCATATCGAGCAAGAATTGAGGCCGCGCGTGGCAAAATCAGTGAATGGGACCAAACCTGATTTTCACAAGAAGATTATGTTCAGCGACTGTAGCTCGCCTTTGGTTGTGTAACTGGGCACGTTATTAAACAAAATTGTCCCTTTTGGGGTGATGAAAATCCACAAGCCGTTATTGAGACGACGTTGCATACCCAAAAAGTCACAGTTTCGTGTGCTTCATTGGCAGTTGGAAACATCGGCCCATATTTCTTTTGCAAAAATGAAGCCGACTACAATGGGGAACGCTTTAAGGATGTGATTCATGACTTATTCGTGTCTAATTTGCAGAATGTTGCTGATGTGGACGATCTTTGGTGCCAACAAGACGACGCTGTCAACGAAATAAAACATTTTTTGAAGGAAACTTTTTGTGCGCGCTCCAAGATCGTGCGATTTAACACCGCTGGAGTATCTTTTGTGGGGTTATGTGAAGTCGCCTTGCTAAACCCGAGACGATTGACGTCTTGGAAGTAAATATTCGCCGCTTTATTGCTGACAAACGGCGCCGATTCCCTCTGGATTTTTTTGAGCTAGCGGCTGCAGTCACTTGGCCGAACCCTTATCTTTATAAACAAGTCTAATTCTTGGCCAAAGCATTAAATTGTATGCCTTCCATTTCTTCTTGAAACCCACTTGTTTAAAAAAGTCACCCTTTACTATTTTTATATGAATTACAAACATACATAAGCACATATCAGACATTGGTGTTACATTTGAAGACACTCTACAGCAGTTATAAACAATTTTGTGACTCGAATTCAAACTCTCAAAAACTCTGACTCTGTCTCTGTCTCGTCGACTGTCCGTCCGTCCGCCCGTCCGTCCATTTGTTGCATGAAGAATTGCTCAACCTTATGTGGCAATAGTTTGAAATAATTAAGTTATACTTCTCGTACACTCGCGCGTTCATACTTACTATGCTCGTAGTCTTCTGCTATTTTGCCATGGCGTTGTCTATTACTCGTATTTTAAATTGCCTTTGTGACTTTGTGACTGCGTCGCCATGGTTACTACTACTCGTATGTTTATCGTCGCCTCACGCGTAGCTCAGTTACAAAAGTCGCTCGGTAATAGTCAAAGTAAATATTGTTGCGAAGGAGCTAAAATGGAGTGATGATTTATTACTGGCAATTAACCATATACCGTTAAAGTTCATGCCATTGATGGTGCATACAACGTGGTTGCCAATATTATTTCAAGATAGTTACTTACATAAATAAGGGTTAGTAGAATAAGCCAAGTTTCCTTCATCATGTAGAGTCCATCAACGGTTCTCTCGATTTGTCCTTAAGGA